ATTTAACCTTGTTGGGCTAAACCTTCTTTTTACCCAAATTCATCATGGCCGGTATCAATGTGGAGACAACATTCCGCTTTAGGGAAACGCCTTTCAACCTAAACCCAATGGTCGAAGAAATACCCTTCGTCATTCTCGCCTTTGCCCCCTTTTCTCCCTGTGCAAAACCCTAACGGAAACCGCACCCATCTAACAATGTCTCAGTTTTTCTTCGAAGAACAGCAATTGCAATATTGGTTGAACGTTTTTTAGTTTAGTCGCGGTTCTGCGCGGAGGAAACGATCCCCTCCTCTCGGACCAATCTCTCCGATTTCCTGCCGTCTATGCCGCCGCCAGAGTCTACTCCTCACCTTTCTAATCGAGAATCGTGGAGCCTTTTCAAATACAGTAATCTTGAAGATGACGACTACGCGATTTCTGGGCAGTCTTTTTTGTTTCCCGTTTCATTATTGGCTATCGATCGCAAATTTTTAACGTGAAATTGATACTTCTGCACAAAATTAGATATATTCAATATTGGTTTTGCATAGTTCGTAAAGTAGGCTAATGTTAGGGTTTTGTTCCCATTTTAAAGCCTTAGTGGTTGATTTGGATGGACATTTTCAGTCTCTCTTTCTTTGGTTAGTGAAATGGAATTTTATTGCAATTTAAATTCTGAGAGTGGGTTGATTATGATACGTTAGTTATTTTGAGATTATGGTATGTGATTAGTTCAATATTTTATTAACGAACTAGACAATGGGAGGTATTTAATAAAGAGATATGTAGAGACAAACAAGCATGATGTACTGGTAGATAAAAAGAATTATAACAATGCACTAAAACATGATTAAATACCATGACAGTATCCTTATTGACATCATAAATATTAAGTAATACTTTGTTTGTAATAAAATAATACACATTAGCTAAAGAAAAACAATCAAGCAAAGCATCATATTACTAAGGTTATCAAAATATATAATCCTGATAAGATTTGAGGCCTTGAATTGCGGACAATGTGGCTTCTTGAACATAATGGACACAGCTCTGGGGCATCAATAAGCAAATTGTTTATTTATTAGTTATTATTTTTTTGAATTATTACATTTAATATTAGTAATTATCAAAAAGAATAATTTAATATAATTTTAGTTTGTTATTAATACAAAAAATTTTAATTATTAACCTAACTAAATCCAATGCAGATGAAGTGCACAAAGTGCACCATGAGGTCTAGTTAGCTCGAAAACTAATGTTTGCATAACTAAGGAAGGTTTGAATTCAGTCGAGAAAATATGTTTGAAATAGATAACTAAGAAGAGAGCCATAGAATAAAAATAAAGCTTCAGGTTAAAAAGATCAGTCCAGTTCTACATTTAATTCTTGGCAGAAAAGTTTGTTGCAAAAGCATGTAAAAACTTGGTCTGATATAGTTAGGTCCCTGTACAGTTTACCAAAAGTATCTCAATTTACAGAAAGTAACACATGTACAAAAGTAGTTGAGCCATTAGCTTTGATAGATACAAGTTTACCTCATCAAGACCACCACTAGAGCTTTACTTAGAGCTTGTCGAGCCTCCTAGCTCTGAAGTCTTCTGCCTTACAAAGATTTAACCATCTGTAATGAGTGAGAAATAGGGTGTGAGCTCACAGCTCATAGGTGAATGTTAAGAACCTACTACAATTGAAAATACTTAACCCTTAACTAAAGCATTTAATAGACCACATGGCCAAAATCAAATTAATTTCAGCAGATACACTAGACTAGACAATTAGCATTCTTAGTGAGCAGTTTTACATTGCTCTATACTAGCATTTAGCTTAGTCAATCGTAAAGTATGACACTGCAGAATCAATACAATCCAAACTGAGTTTCTATGCTAAGCATTTCATATCTGGTTCTACTGACTGGAAATAGCAGAACATAAGCGAAACATTTTAACTAGACAACCATGCAAACAAGCACCATGATGCCTATGGATTTCAATAAGAATTATGTGGTGCACTTCACATTAAGCTAGGGCCAACCATAGCTTCCCTATGGCGCAGAGGTCCAATTGTTCAATGGGTGCTCATTCAGAGCTCAATGAAATCACCCAGCTAGTTGCTTGGGTTCGATTATCCATAGACTTCCAAATTTCAATCAATAACACTATCAGTTCAAAATAACAATACAATAGGCCACTGAGTTTTCAACTTCAAATGTCAATAGCAAATATCGCATACTCAGTGATCAAACCCATTTCTGCATGTTAGGATATGTCCGAACAGCATCTTACAAGTCATTAGCAATTCAGCATCACCGTATTATGAGTTCATGATATTCAGAACTTACTAGTCTGACGTAGCAATAGCAAAATCACATGCAAAACAAATCAAATATACTTACTAGTCTGTACAGATTAGGTGCAGCCACGTTTGCTTGTTACCAAGTTCTTAACATTTCAAAATTGCTCATTTCACAACCCCATTCGACCACTCAACGCATAGACACTCAACAGAGAATTCTGTACATAAATATCATCCCCATGACCCAATTTTATGACATGACCATGTACCATCTGCCCAAGATTGGGCTCATGGAAATCAGCCAAGGACTTATAAACAGGAAAGGAAACGTATAGTTATTGGGCAAAATTGAGTTTTTATGCATGTGTGTGTATATAGAGAAATGTCTGGGATTTTGGAATGACAAAGGGATCTGATGACGGAGTTGCAGAAGAAGACATGCGGTTCTGGGTGGTGGGTGAGCACAAAGTGAGCATTTTTCAAGAGGCCAGGAGCAAGGCAAGACTTGATGAAGCTGTTGGCAATGGTGGGGTTAGTATGGAGGTTTTGGAGGATGAGTTAGAGCAATTTAACAAATAAGGACAGAACTTTCTGACTTATAACAAACAAGGACAGGGTCGTTACACTTGGATTTTTTGCCTTTATTTACGTTGGATCTAAAGGTCAGGCAAAATGATTTCCTTCTAAGAAGTGGCTGGTATGTAAGTGCTTGTGCACTTCTGTTTTCCTTTTGTAACTTGAGTTCCTATTATTACGAGTGTTGTTGCGTGGAAATCGTGAAAATTATAAAATAGTTACGAGTCTTGCAGAATGAGCTGTCTTTGACACATGGTCGTGACTGCCAAAGTCAACTTGGGATGATTTGTTGATTTAGTGAACGTTTTACTGGCTGTAGTTAAGAAGCATTAATTAGGGGCATACAATTACACCTAACAAGGTTGATAATTTGTTAAGCATCTTTCATAATTAGCTGTCTCTCTCATTTTCCTGAATCTTATCCTGTTGTTTGATGCAGATTGATTGAAGCAGTTATCCAATCAGTGAATAACCTCCCTGAAAAGCTTCACCAGTCAATTTTTCATTTTAGGGTTCGCTTGGTTACCACTTCCCTATAAAGTATTTCCTGTGAAGTCAACACTTTTTTGGAGCCAATTTGGTCTCGGAAAGGTTTTTTAGAGGCACAAAAATAATAAAATTATAGTTTGTTATAATTTTGTATATGGTGGTTATAAAGTGAAGATAGTTGTTTATAATGAAACTAGTTTTTTTTTGCCCGTGTGTTGCACGGGTGTGGTTTTTTTTTTTTCATTTATCTTTAATTGTGTGTTTTTTTTTTTTATTTGGTAGATTATATTTATGAAATATCAATGATATAACAAAGAATGAATATTCATAAGAAGGTATTGAATATCATGCTTTATTGTTATTATTTAATAGTGACTTGTACTAAGACATTAAGAGCTTTTTATTATTCAATGGTTACTTGTGGGAGATCATTAAAACCTTTGTAATAAACAATGTTTTCTGTGTAACCTTCATGGTCTTATTCATCATAACCAATGAAAATATTTAGACCAATTGGAGATGTCACTCTAAATGCAACTACATATAATTAGCCATGGTTGAAAACAAGATTTGATAGATATAGGCCAACATGCTTTAGGGACTGCCCTTGACTCTTATTAATAGTCATTGTGTAATGTGGCCTTAAAGGAAGTTATCTTCTCTTCAATATAAATGGCCATTTTCATTATTGTGAAGTCATTGTAATTCTTGGTATTAAAACCTTCTCGCCAATCTTGTTTTCTATCATGATCTTGTCTTTAATGACCCATTCTCCCAACTGTGTTACTTTTATTTTGGTGTCATTGTAAGTTTTTTTATCTTATAATTAGAGGTGTAATAATATTATCATTTGTAACTACTAATATAATAATTTTGAATAAAATTTTTAATACTATGATTTGTAATTGTTAATATGATAATTTTGAGTGAGATTTTTCTATTCTATGTTGTTATTTAATTATTTATTTTTTTATGATTTTTTATTAATTAATGAAGATTTTAATATACATGTAAATGCTATAATTTTTCTCTTTTTTTAATTCTTTTCATTATTATTTTCCGTTATGCATATATTAAGGTGAGTTTAATTTTTAATAACTCATGTTTAGAGTTTTTAACTATATATTAATTTGTTCAACTTCCTCTATAATAATTCTATCAACACTAAGCAAGAGTGTCAAAACACTAAGAAAAAGTGTCGGCACACAACCCGTGTCGGGTTTTTGGGTCCTTTTGCTATTTTTTCAAAGATAAAATTGCAAGTTTGGTCCTAAGACTTCTACATGATGAACAATCTAATCTCATATCTTCAAATTTATTCATTTAGGTCCCTAATTGGAGCCATTTATTTCACAATATAGACCTCAAACTTTGAAAAGATTTACAATTTAGTCCCATGACTTCTATTATTATGCATTCCAATATTTTT